AATGAGTGTTTTAGACAAGAGGTATTCCACAGCCTAGAGTGCACTGACCATGCACAGGCCCTCGTTGGCCCCTAACTTCATCTTCCTTTCGTCGTCTTCCCCTGTAGCACCAAAATATTTCCTCATTGCACCGCACTGCCCAGCCTTAACATGTGCTCTGCTCTATACATGGAATGCATCTCGATCCCAGCCTTGTCCCAATCAGACTTAAAACCACAACTTAAATGTCAGGTGTTTATATGAGCTCTTCCCTGAAACACTAAGCAGTGTTTTTAGTGCTTTTAGTATCTCATCTTTTTCTTTCCTTGTATGTTGTATTAAAATTATGTTTACTTGGGGCACCTAGATGGCTCAGTTGGTTAAGCGTCCAACTTCTGCTCAGGTCATGATCTCGCAGTTTGTGAGTTTGAGCCCCCACGTCAGCCTCTGCACTGACAGCTCAGAGCCTGGAGCCTGCTTCAGATTCTGTGTCTTCCTCTCTCTCTGTCCCTCCCCTGCTCTCTCTCTCTCTCAAAAATAAATAAACAAAAAGCCTGTTTAAAATTGTGTACTTATGTATGTTAAATCACCAAATCCTAAAGTGGAGGCAGTGTGTTATATTCATGTCTGGACCACTGAGAAGCTTATAGTGTGGTGAGTGATACGAATGGATAAACAGATAACTGCAGTATAAAACATAGCACCAGACCCATAGTAAGTTCTCAATATTTTGATGAGTGCTGGGTTTTAAAATGAAGAAGCCAATAAAGGGGCGTGTGGGTGGCTCAGTCGACTGAGGGTCTGACTCTTGATTTCGACTCGGGTCATAATCTCACGGTTCATGAGTTCAAGCCCTGCATCCTACTCTGCTCCAAACAATGCAGGGCCTGCTTGGGGTTCTCTCTCTTCCCCTCTCTGCCCACCTCTTCCCCCACCCCCACTCACATACATGCTCTCTCTCAAAATAATAAACTTTAAAAATAAAATAAAAGGAAGAAGCCAATAAAGACATTTAGAACAACAGCATGTCAGGCAACTTCTCTGAATAGTCCAGAAACATTTATGTTCCTACAGTACTGTCTTGGGCATTGTGGAGCAGGGCTTTACCTAAGTTCACACCTAGGCTCTGCCACTAGAACTGGTAACATGGGTAAACAGTTATACCATTTGCCTCAGTTACCCACCTATAAATCACAGGTGATAGAGGGACCCTCCTCAAAGGGTTGCTGAAAGGCCTAAGTGGGTGATATATGTAAAATGTTTACAGTACTGGCTGATACACAGCATAAATGCTCAACAAATGTTCGCTAGTGTTACTTCTACTACATGAAGGGTACAAGGCTGGTTTGCCTTTCAAGAAACCAACAACCAGGTGGGGAGAAATGACAAGAATCTATGAAAGATACAACATAAAGCAGAAAATTAGGTATTAAATGTCAAAAAAATTAAGTACTGATCTACAATCTCCCAGGATGACTATTTTAAATGAAACCACATTCTTCTGTATGTTTAGGTTCAGATGTTTTAAAAAAATAAAACCAGGGGCGCCTCGGTGGCGCAGTCGGTTAAGCGTCCGACTTCAGCCAGGTCATGATCTCGCGGTCCGTGAGTTCGAGCCCCGTGTCGGGCTCTGGGCTGATGGCTCAGAGCCTGGAGCCTGTTTCCGATTCTGTGTCTCCCTCTCTCTCTGCCCCTCCCCCGTTCATGCTCTGTCTCTCTCTGTCCCAAAAATAAATAAACGTTGAAAAAAAAATGAAAAATAAATAAATAAATAAAACCAAAAAAGCAGCTCTAATACTAGGTTGAGTCATATGAAAGCCTTAAACCTTTATAGGTCTAAGATGATCAAATATTAGCATTTTTACACGGTTCAGACTAAAACGTTCTAGTTATACTTGGTCACCAAATCTCAAGATCAAATAGATTTACGCATAAGAGAGACACAGACAGTGAGAATGTATTAGGTTTTCTGTACAACCAGTGGAAAATAAAGCAATTTTGTCTCCAAAGCATCTTTGGAGGACACCTACTTCCACCCCATGAAGCTGTAATATGAAAATGAAGTTAAACATCTAGTAGAGAATCTTAAGGTAAATATTTCGAAGACAGTAACTATGAATATTTGTATATTTTAATGAATTCAGAAAAATCTCCAGTGCCTCTTTTCTTCTTGTATAAAATTAAAGGCAGTGTCTGTGATCTGTGACAAAAAAGAAAGAAAGAAAGAAAGAAAGAAAGACAGACAGACAATTATAGCCTTATTCCTTTCATTTCAGGCCTACAGTAAAGATATTAAATTCATACTTCTCACTTTGTGTTTTTCTACATAAATGTATTTTACAGCCATCAACTTGCAAAAGGAGCACGTGAAACTTAATGTTACTCAAACTTGTCTTTAATAAAGAAAAATCAAGGAATTATTTAACAATTAGACACAACTATGCTCAATTGACAAAGATGATTTGCTTAGGAATCTTAAGAGTAACAGAAATAGAAGAACATACCACCATAAAAAAAAAAAAAGATAAATTCATTCTATGACTAGAAAATGCTTTAAGATAAAAACATTAATTATTCAATAAGAAAATATTTCATATTTCTTTTATCACAGAGACTATAAGTTTAATGAACTCATTTCTCTATCAAGTTATGCAGCATACCTTCCTGTCTCTAGTTTCTCATGCAAATGGTTAGAGAGTTTTTCTCAGAGTAGAGCAAATCAGTGCTAATGGTTTCGAGTCAGGGCTTGGAGGTGGCCTGGAAAAAGGCCATTTACACTCACCCGAACCCAGCCCAACACCTTCTTTTTTACGGTTAGTCTCTATTACCAGTGAGTGATCCCTCATCCTCCCTCAACAGATAAATTACTACAAATGTACCCATAAATTAAAACGGTATCATTCAACGTGGAGGAGAGTGGCTGGAGCGCAATGAGACATTGACAGTCTTCTGGTAAAAACTACCTCATTCCAGACAAATACATGAAAATAATACTTTAATGAAAGGCATTCATCCTGTCCATATGCTTCCCCTAAAATGCTTGTAAAAAACTCAGAATTAAGTAACATTAAGATACAAGAGGTAATAAGTGCACCTAAAAAAAGGTAAGTAGCATACGTGAGGCCTGCTTCCTGGAATTCTAACCACGTCATCTCACAGGTAATTTTCAGGATAATTATCGTAAAAATACAATAAATACTATAATGGAAATATAGGGATTCATTTATTACTTTTTGGTTTACAAACAAAGGCACCCAATAATGCTTCTATTTACTTCTTATAAAAGATTATCAATTTACATTTAAAACAAAAAGCAAAAAAAACCCTGAACCAGTTCCTATAGACACACACAAAAAAAGGGGAGAAATAAGATTATTTTCCTCCCTACTTCCAATCTTTATTACCATTTTTATACCATGTTTATACCATTCTTAAGTCAAAGAACACATTGCCATGCTTCTTTGTTGACTTTTAAAACATATTAATGTTGCCAAGTCAAATTTAAATATAGCCACAAATGATGTCACAATTGACAAACGCGCAGAATTATAAGAATCAAGAGTGAAGAGAGGGAAAAAGCCCAAATGTTTTACAATACAGCTTTTTATCAAATGAATTAAATGAAATGTCAAATTTATTAGGCTATCATGTTAAAAATGGAGCTCGTGTGAAAATATAATCAAACAAAACTAAAACTCTGTCTGACAAATGACATCAACAAAAATGATTTCCAAAATCTTTGAGTTAAGCTTAAGTCTAGTTGGTGGGGATTAACAACCTATGTATTCTTCACACTAACTTCAGAACTAAGTTCTACAATGATATATTAATTCATTCATGAGTTTCTTCTGACAGCAGAATTCTAAACACACAAAATAAATGCAGTGGCCTCAGCACCCGCCTAGCTAGCATTTCCCTACACTGGATTACAAGAACAATGCCATGGTTCAGAAGACATACCCCCCCTCTGTACTTCACATGCCTGTCAAAGTTGTACCTGATTCTTTTGCAAGATACAAAGACACTTCATCTGATTCTAAGTATATCTGGCAGAGCACAAACATCATACAAATGTTAGCATGTTTTCAACCCATTACGGAAATGTATTTGGAGAGATGGAGTACTCAATGTATAGAGCATCTAGAGTTAATTATGGGCCACTTTAAATTAAAGGCATCATCATTCATTCCATTTTTAGACACTGTCCTGGTCTCTCACACCTTACACAAGGTATGGTCCTAGACCAGAGACTTAGTATCGTTTCAAAGAATATGAATATATATATATATATATATATATATATATATATATATATATATATATATATATATATATATATATATACACACACACACACACACACACACACATACATACATACATATTTCTTTTAAAATAATGTTTAAAAGTTTTACTACAGAAAATCTGGCTTCACCATGGAAGCATTTTTCCTTCTCAAGATTACACACCTGCATGGAAGAAGGTGGTTTCCTTTACATTTAGGTTTTCACAATAACAAAATAAACTTCTTGCATTTAAATTGACAGAGAAAGTAAGATGTAAAGTTCTATGTAACTTTTTGTATTGTGAACTGACCTCATTAAACACATTCAAGATATACTGTTGATTTAAATATAGTACAACTTGATCAGCTAAATTCGAACATGTTATGCTGATCAATCTGTTAAACCAAACGTATGTTAAAACAGTAAGGACAGTTTACTACTATTAAGGTTTAAAGGTTTAAAGGGAATAATAATGTATCATTAAAATACACATTAATTTTCTTGCTATTACTTGTTTCTATAATGCATCTCTTTAAAACTACATGCAGAAAAAATAAATGATATCTCATTCAACAGTTTGCTACTTTAGGTGGTATGTAAATAAAGTCCTTTATTTAATTTTATACACGTTATTTTATGCACTATTTTATTTTTCTTGAAGGAATTCAGCTCTCAAGGTCAAAAGTTAGTATGTGTTTACACACATGTGAGAACATTTTCTTAATGTTAGGACTATCTGCAAATATATTCTTCCATAATAAAGCATTATCAGTTTTCACTGGAAAGACTGTATAAGCCTTAAAAGTCCTATTAATATAATGTACACAGGGAAGAGAGCACAATATGGTGAATCCCTCCCCACCTGCACCCTTCTTTGCCAGTCTCAAGAAATCCTCCAGCTTCAAAACATGAACACAATTTCATAGGACTGATTTTTATTTGGTCATAATGTGGAGAAGAAAACTGTATTCGTCTTCTTTTTGACACTAATAGTCTTATTGAATTCATTCTCATTTTCCTTCAAAAAATACATAGCATATGGTGACATGGATTCTCCAACTCATTAGATCCAGTAGGGTCTTTAGAATAACATATAGCCTTCTGATAATGGAAGCAACTGATTGCTTACAAAAAAATGATGTGCATCAGACCACTAATCAGAGAAAGGAAAATGAGAACATGTCTTTCACATTGGAGACCACTTAATAACTTACGAAATGATGTAAAAATAGTATGGCTATAATTTTAACAAAACTAAAACCCACTTCAACTGATGAAAAAAACCAAACACCGAAGAATTAAATATCTACCAACTTAGCTATGTATTCCTGTCCAAATAAATGCTTTCCACTGCACTATATATTAGAATTAGAAACTCACTATATGTTAAGGCATATTTTAATCAATATGTTCCAGAATTGCACAGTTATACTGGTCAGTGTTCCTATTTCCCCATTCCTACCCTCACCCCACCCCTTGTCCCCAGGGATCAAAATGTTAAGTCATGGTTTTGGTGGCTATTGTAGATTTGAGCTGGCATAACCACAGTGTGTTCACTAGATTTTGTAAGCATAAACATTAAAATGTTACATAAAATGTACCATACTGTACTCCACACTCTGATCTAAGATGGTTTAATGTCTTGACAAAAGGTGAGATGACTTAAGTACATTTTACATTTTGTGCATTTAGACCACCATATGCATAGATGTTCTAATGCTAAATTCTCGTCTTCAGTATCTCATAGTGCTGGATGCCCGGAAGTATGACAGAAACTTGTAACACAGACTAACCACAAAGTACCAGATGTTTCTTGCCATTTGTGATCTTGCAATAAAAATGCGCCAAATCAGGATCACAAGGATAGTATTGAAACCATACCGTATGTTCCTCAACCTGGAAAGCAAATCGAGAGACATATCAGACAATGTTTTCTAGAATAAAATATTGTTGGATGGCAGATAATCAATGTCCAGTTGCTGATCTCATCAAAGCTCAAATCCATTACGGTATAATGACTGCAGAGCAAGTCATTTTGAAATGCAGCAAGAAGAAACAAGTTTTCTTCCTCCACTCTACTGTCCAACTATTTGGTTCGGGAAGTTGCTATGACATATAAATCTCTTTGTGCTAGGCCAAGATTGGCCAATTGAAAAAGAGTTCTCAAAGAGTTTAAATATACAGATTGTGTATGAGCACCTATTCTTTTCTCCTTTTCTTTACTACCTTAATGCCCTTTCTACTTGTGGAACAATTCATCCATTTTGCTTTATGACCAGCTTTAATTCCAGTCTGAAAATAATAGCAACCCTAGAGACTGATACAAAACAGCATTGAAATACTTTTTTCAAATGATGACACCTAAAATCACCCACCCAGCTTAGAACTGAACTGAATTTCTATGAAAGAAAGTTATTATTTTAAATGCTAATTATGTTAAAACTATTTAATTCTAAAAACTGTCTTTTAAAAAAAAATTTTTTTTTAACGTTTATTTATTTTTGAGACAGAGAGAGACAGAGCATGAACGGGGAGGGGCAGAGAGCGAGGGAGACACAGAATCGGAAGCAGGCTCCAGGCTCTGAGCCATCAGCCCAGAGCCCGACGCGGGGCTCGAACTCATAGACCGCAAGATTGTGGCCTGAGCTGAAGTCAGATGCTTAACCGACTGAGCCACCCAAGCACCCCTAAAAACTATGTCTTTAAACATATTCCAAAAGTTTCACTTTCAGAGGATATTCCTTAAAAAAGGCATACTGAACATAGATGGGAAAGTGTAAAATATTCTGATAGAATTCTTCATTATTCCATATTTAACTTCATGTTTGTTATTGTACCACAAGTATAGATAGTGTCATTCTAGGATTAAAATGTCGGATTTTTTGTTAATATACTTAAAACTGTAACCAGTGATATTAGTATTTTTTATGATAGGTTATATTTTATTTCAATAAACTTTGATATTTAGACCAAAGACAAAAAGAGTTCAAATCCATCACTAATGTGAAACTTATTTAAAATTAACTAGAAGCCCTTAAATTAGAAAGTCTGCAAAAGTCAAACAAACCTGACCATGCAGTCCATCAAACAACACCTTACCTCTATTAACCATGAATGAAACAAAGATTTTTTATAACAAAAAAATTTGGGACACAAATTTATTCATTCAACAAGTATTACTGAGCATCTTTCTGTATGACCAGGACTAGGTATACTGTAGGTAAAACAGACATGCCCCTTCTGGAGCTTCCCATCTAATATCTAAAAAGGTTTGGGCATTATATACATCATCCTACAGACAAAGAAATAAAATATTTTTAAACATCTTTAGGTACTTCTAAGCTGTCAGACATGCAAATTCACTCCTTCACTTACAGCTGACAGTCACATTATCAAAGGCCAACTGGACAAATGCTCATCTATGAAAGAAGCATGGCATGAGTCCATATAAAAGGGCCCTCCCAGTCTCAAAGAGTAACATTAATGTTACTGTACTCATATTTCAAAACATTTTTTATATTTTCAATGGTGTTAGAAAGGAATACAAATGTTCAGGTACATAACAATGTTACATAAATTCCATTACCTTCAATAGGCAATCCAAGATAGGACTATAATATACAAATGATGGTATAGACAAAAGAGCTCATGGGGCACCTGGGTGACTCAGTCAGTTAAGCGTCTGACCTGGGCTCAGGTCATGATCTCGCCAGTCTGAGTTCAAGTTGCTGCATTGGGTTCTCTGATGACAGCTCAGAACCTGGAGCCTGCTTTGGATTCTATGTCTCCCTCTCTCTCTCTGCCCCTCCCCCAATCACACTCTGCATGTCTCTTTCTCTCAAAAATAAAAGAGCTTTGAATTAGGAGTCAAAAATCAGTATTCTAGTTTGCTCTGCTGCCTAATGCATATGACCTGCAAACACAACTTCCCTAAACCTCCATTTCCTCAACTATTTAACTAGCTGCCCTGCAAAGCCTCATAAAGTCAGAAGACCAAGAGGAATAATGTGAAAGTCTTGAAAGCTGTTATAAAGACTGTATTATAAAAACACTACAAATAAAAGAGGTTACTATTGAAATTAACTACATCTCTGAATTATGGGTAACAGTGATTTTTCTGTTTTGAGTTTTTTTAAACAATCAGTATATATTACTTTTATAATGAGACTAAGGGAATAATTATAACCCTTGTTTCAAAAACAAAGAAAAAATTCTATGCTGAATGATGTATTATTATATCGCTTTTCCTCTTCCAAAGATGTATTTGACAAAGGGAAAAAAACAAAAGAAAAAACACAACACTTCAAATAACTACCTCTAGTTTAAAATACATTTTTATTTTCTCCTAATATCTTTACTTCTTCAGTAGCAATACAAAGGAAGGAAATACAAAGGAAAATAGTGATTTTCAAAACTAAATTCCACCTGAACTTAGTGCTAAGGAACAGGATAAAGACAGTAAGTTTGAACAACCTTAGGCTAAATACTACCATAGTTCCAGTGCTAATGTAAGCACTTTTCCTAAATAAAATATTACACTAGCAATATACCAGCTCACCAAAAAATAAATAAAATAAAATTAAAAACTGTGTGATAATTCATAAGGAAGACACGATGCAATCAAGCCCATGTAAAAAACTTACTTGTTCAGATGTTTTCTAGCTGCAGGGAGGCCAGACATTTCTTCATTCAATACATATTTCTTAGTTCCCATGCAGTAGTTCTCTATATATTCTGCCCAATGTAACTGCCGTACATCAATATTAAAGGTCTATAGAAACAAAACAACCATCAGTTTTTCTCTTGAATAACTTTTTCACAACTGGTCAAAAATTCATACTTTTTTTAAAGGCTAATTCCACATGACAAGATTACAAAATGTTTATAGTATTAACTTTTAAAATCTTACTGCTGTTCACAAAGAAGTTCTTCATCCCTATTTTATACCTCCCATGAAACACAGAAACATTTCAGGAGATAATCTGCAAGCTTATGTCAACATTCAAAGAGAAGTATATATGAAGTGTAAGGAAAAAGCAACCTTCTTTTTACACTAAAAAAAATTAAATCCCATTGTCCAAATAATCTATGTGTTCCTCACCACTTTATACACATATTAATATATTTCCAGTATTTCTTCCCGAACATCCTGCAAACCACATGTATTACCTTTCCTATAGAACAGTAATGACATCAAGAGAAAAAAAGACTTTATGAAAGCTAGCTTAGGAGTTTAGGTAACAGTAAGGAGCCCATCTGATGAAAAGGATAGATGAATCTAGAAAATAAAGCTTTACAAAAATGTTATTTTGTGACAAAATAAGAAGGCTATGCACTGCTCAGTGCTTCTCCATACACGATCTGATTATTTTTTAGAGTGAGAAACAGATTATTCACTATTTATCATCACTTATCTGAAAATATCAAGTTGCAGACCAAAAACAACTACCATAAATAAATCACTGGTCATGATCTCGACAGTTCGTGAGTTCAGCCCCGTGTCAGAAGCTACGGCTCGAGCCTGGAGCCTGCTTCAGATCCTGTGTCTCCCTCTCAATAAATAAACGTTAAAAAAAAAAATTTAAAAAAATAAATAAATGGAGGCTCGATTTAAGATGGGAGAGATTATGAGACTATGTTAACTGGACTCCCACAGGAAGAGTGAAAAAGAATGGAACAGAGGCACCATCTGAGAAGACAACAGCTGGGAATTTTTATTTCCAAAATGATGATACATTAAGCCACAGATTCAAAACACACATACACCATACACATGCAAGTACCTGAGCATATCAAGAATAAAACTCTTGAAAGTCAAAGATGAAAATTTTGAAGACATCAGAAAAAGATGTTATGGGTTACCTCCGAAGGGACAACTATTAAACTGACACTTGACTTCTCAAAAGAAACAACAGAAGCCAAGAGACTATGAGAAGATGTCTTCCAGTGCTCAGAGAAAACTGCTAACACACAGTTCTATACAGTATAAACATCTTTGAAAAATAAAGATGTTTGCAGAAGAATAAAAACTGAGACAATGTGATATCAGCAGATGACTCACACTAGAGGAAGAAGCACACCAGAGGGTATTCTTTAAGCCAAATGAATAGGATTCTGGATTGAAGTCTGGAGACGGAAGAAGAAATGAAGAGCCACAAAAGGCCAATTATGCTGGTAAATCTATGTGAATACTTAGTAGAGTGCAATTAAGAATAATGGTGGTGAGGCATACAACACACATACAGAATTAAAATATGTAACAACAGCAGAAAAGTATTAGGCCTTGCATTCTCCAAAAAAAAAGAAGTATCAATATTATATTAGTCTTTGATGAAGTGAGGAAGGATGCTGTAATCTTTAGAGAAACCTAGTAATACAACTGAAAAAGTATATTTTATGTAACTGATACAGATGGGGAAAATACAAAACTGTAAAAAATAACCTCAAAGAAAACAAAAACTTAAGACAAGTAAGACAAATAGAATGCACTAAGCGTTAGATTTAAATCTGTTATCAAAAATTAAATTATGGATTAAATCCTCCAAATAAGGGTCCAAAACTGTCAAACTGAAAAAAGTAAAATACAGTAAAACTATATGCTGCTTATAAAAGGAATATCTGATAGTTAAGGATACAGAAAGTTGGAAATACAAGGACAGAGAAAGATACATTTCTACCAACAATGTATATAGGAACTCCCACTGGCCAACGCCTTACCAGAGGGTAGGCTGTCAAGTTTTGCATTTTTGCAAACTGTTAAGGAGTAAATATCTCAGTCTAATTTCAGTTGGCATCTCCATTTTTATGAGTGAGGTTGAGTATCTTTTCCAATGGTTAATCATTTGCATTTACTTCTCTGTAAACTGTTCATCTCTAGCCCATTTTCAGTAGGACTGACGTTTTTTGCCATTTCTACACAAACTTTTTATGTAATACGAAATGCACGTTAACATCACATTGAGATACCACCATATACCCACCAAAGTGTCTAAAATTAAAAATTAAAATGAAAAGGCCAACTGTTGGGAGGATGCATATTAACAGGAACTCTTGTACACTGCCACACAAAATGTCAATCAGTACAACTACTTTGGAAAACTGTTTAGCATTATCAACTACATTGAACATACAAATACCCTTTGACTGAGCTATTCTATTTCTAGATATATATCCTATATAAATGTGTGCACATGGCTCAAAGAAGAATTATTCCCAACAGCCAAAAACTGGAAATAACCCAAATATGGTATCAACAAAAGAAATGAAAAAATACTGTATGATACAATTTGTATAAAGTCAAAAATGGGTATACTATTTAATGGCAGAATTCAAGATAGTTGTTACTTTTGGAAGGTAGTTATTGGGAGGGGGCACAAGGGGATCTTCTGGGGACAAAAATATTCTATTTCTTCACCTGGATGGTCACTTTCTAATAATCCACTGGGCAGTATGTGTTGTGCACTGGGATGGGGACAAGGAAGATGGGAAGGGAGAACATAAGGAATCAGTAGAAGCCACAAATCTTTTAACCTGGGATTCTCTGCAGAACCCTGGTAACTGGGACCTTCTGTTTTGATGCTGCAGGCAAGGATGAAGATTGGCTATAAAGCCTATGGCCCCATCAGTTAAGGTGTCTTACAGAATATTGCTGCAAAAAGATAAAAATTCCCAAAGCTGTATCCTGAGAGCAAGGGTGAAAAAAAGAAGTAAACCCACCACACACAGAAGTGGGCAAAAAAAAAAGTGCACACTCAATGCCTTTATCACGCACGACCAGTAACATGTACTCAATCTGCACTATCTAATATGGTAGCCACAAGCCACATGCATGTCTGGGAACTTTGAAAGTGATTGGTCTGAACTGAGATTTGCTGTGGAGTATAAAATGCACACAGGGTTTCAAAAGCTCAGTATAAAAAAATTGAAAGTATAATATCATATAAACAGTTGCTTAAATTTTCAGTGATTTTTAAATTTCTGTTTAAATTATATATTATTTTGGATATATTAAATAAAACATTAAAATTTTTTAATGTTTATTTTTCAGAGAGAGAGACAGAGCAGAGAGAGACGGAAACACAGAATCCAAAGCAGGCTCCAAGCTCTGAGCTGTCAGCCCAGAGCCCGACGTGGGGCCTGAACTCATTAGATGAGAGATCATGACCTGAGCTGAAGTCAGACACTTAACCGACTAAGCCAGCCAGGCAGCCCAAAGTACTAAAATTTTTAAAGAAAGACGTGGAAAGAGAAAGGAAACTGCCCCTGGGAAGATGAAAAAGAAATCTCCTTTGAGAAACTAGAAGCATGAACCAGCCTATTTAAGGCCCACATTCACTTGAGTTAGGCTAAAAACTTAATCAGATATCTTAAAGTGGTCCTGGCCTGTTAATGCCACCTGGCTAGTCAATGCTAATAATCACTCACTGGGCTACTAGCAGAAGCAAAGGCGAATCCTTATTGGAAAAGTGTGATTTCAACATATGCTTCAAAAAATTTCCACAGAAATCCTCAAGGAATATGAATATACAGTCAAACAATAAGAAAAAAAACAAGGTGCCATGAGTGAGACCCAGCATAAACAACAGACGATCAGGTGTTACCACTGCACAGCCTTTAGAAGTTTAAATTATCAGACACAGAATTTAAAACAATTATGTTAACCATGTTTCAAGAAATGTCTGTAAGAGGGGTGTCTGGGTGGCTCAGTCAGTTGAGTGTCCGACTCTTGATTTTGGCTCAGGTCAAGATTCCAGGGTTGTGGGATCAAGCCCTGCATCAGGCTCTGTACTGAGTGTGGAGCCTGCTTAGGATTTTCTCCCTCTCTCTCTCTCTCTCTCTCTCTCTCTCTCTCTCTGGCACCTAGGTTGCTCAGTTGGTAAAGCATCCAACTTCAGCTCTGGTCTCATGGTTCTGGTGAGCCCCTAAATGAGCTGCTGGCTCGGCTTGAGACCCCACTTCAGATCTGCTGTCTGTCCCCTCTTTCCTACCCTCGACACATGAACTCCCTCTAAAATGTTTTTTTAATTAAAAAAACAAAAAAAAGATTCTGCCCCTCTCCCCCGCTTGCTCTAAAATAAAAATCAAAAAATAAAAAAGAGAAGGAAAGGAACATCTGTAAGATCTGAAAAACAAATTGAATTTCTAAACATGAAAATAACTGAACCCCCTTATTCAAGGATTGGGCATGAACCAGGGCTGAAAGACTGCCACAGATCTTTTATTAACCATTAGCTTTTCAGCCAGAAACAAAGAGATAAAATATGAGCTAAAACTTAAAAGAGGAAAGAATGATGTGAAATATATTAAAATTTCACAAGAAGAGAATGGTGAAGAGGTATATATATATATATATATATATATATATATATATATATATTTTAAGTTTATTTATTTTTGAGAGAGAGAGAGAGAAAGAGATCATGCATGCGTGAGCAGGCGAGGAACAGAGAGAGAAGGAGAGAACCCAAGCGGACTCTTCTCTGACAGCACAGAACTCGATGTGGGGCTCGAACTCAGGAACCGTGAGTTGATCACCTGAGCTGAAATCAAGAGTTGGATGTTTAACTGGCTGAGCTACCCAGGCACCCCAAAGAGGCCATATTTGAAGAAACAATAGCTAAGTATTGTCCTGAACTGCTAACACACTTCAAACTTCAGATCCGGGAAGCCCAGTTGTGAAACAGGATACATTTTGAAAAATTATACCTAGACACATTCACAGTGAAACTGCAGGACACCAAAGAAAAACTCTGAAAAACAGACAGGAATAAGAGAGCACCTGTAATGCAGCAGCAAATTAGACTGACTTTTCAACAGCAACAACATAAGTGAAATATTAAAGGAACATAAAAAGAAAGTTATCCTTCATGTACTGAAATCATGTTACAGAAACAGTGAAATAAAGACATGCCAGGCAATCACAAACTGAGAGCTCACTACTAACAGACCGCCTACTAAATCATATTCTGGGATTCTGGATACATTTCAAACTGAAAGAAAAGGGTCCTAAAGAGAAGATCGAATAGCAAAGCTACTGGTAAATATTTAGTTAAATCTAAATACAACTAAACAAAGTCATATCTAATGACAGGGTTTCAATAGAGAACTAAAGTAATGTATAACTATGTAAATTAGTGGGGTGGTAATCACAGTTTAAACATTTTAAGGTCCTAAATATCATTAAAAAGAAGCTATAGAAATTGCTTAATTTAGACTTTGTTAGATATGTATGTTAAAATACCTTAGGCAACCTCAAAAAGAACACACACAAAGAGTTTAAGTTTCAAACGAACAGACGGCGAAATGTAGAATGATAAGAAATTAAAGAATATATGAGGTAAAACAATTTCAGAGGGAAGGTTTTTTTCTCAAAATTCAAAGAAAACAAACTGAAGGAAAAATGCATAAAGAATTCTAGTTTCTCTTTGAATCTCACTAAAGGGAAAAAAAAGAACCAACATTTCAATCATACTTTGAAAACATCTCTGCCACTCTCAAGTACTTACGTTATAAATTCTAAGATAAAGCAATTTTATTTTACCACCAACAATTATGATTGAAGCTTTAATGAAACACATATAAATAGGTCAAATGTCTTTCCTTTTGCATTAATGACTGGAAAATATCCAATTATTTCTCAGGTTGCTAATGGCTGTCCAATTAATATGCTATGTTTTCTAAAATAAAACAGAAAATACTTGCCTTTTTATCTTCAGGGTTTAGTTGATTCATCAACATATTGACATTGTCAGTATTCCAAACCCAAGAATTACTTGTGAAATATTCAAGAAACACCATAGCTTTGTGAAGACGAGTTATTGTTTTCATCATCCTGTATTATGAGAAAAATTGACAGATTCATAATTCGCATAGATTAGGAAAAATCTCATCACCACCTAAGGTGCAGTTTCTATATTGAGATAGTAGCAATAAAATTATAATTCTGTAATTCATTCAGTAAGTGACCAAACCACCAGAGAATATTTCTGCATCTTGGAAGAACATTTTATAAATCCAAAATGAAAAAAAAATTTTAAGCAGCAGCAAATGAATTTAATACTGCCTAAACAGAGTTCTACTGATATATAAAATTTTCATAGGAAATACAATACTTTAAGGTCAAATTTTCTTCTATAATCCTAAGCAAATAAATGGATTCAATTAGTATTCCCTTGTTTTTTGTTCCTTAAATCACATTTTAGTTTGGCTAAAATTACTAAGATTTCCTGTGAATTTATAACATAAGGAGTTATACTGTGATCTCCACTCTTCAGCATCATGGACGCAAAGTATACAGAAATATTCGTTTGCCATTTAATCATCTCTCTCTACATACATTTTTAGAGTAATTTTCTCTTTAACACAGACAGGTATCACTCTTGATTGTCTGAATGTGCTGTGAAATCAATGACTGATGCTGAAAACTTTCTGAAATAGATATTCAAGATATTCACTTACCTCCCCAAATCCCCCATTATTCATCCTTACAGAAATATTTTTGTTTGATATTTCTTGCTTGTTCCTTTTTAAAAAGGATGAGGGACCTTAATCTTTAAATCTGTCATTTTATAGATCATGGCTCACTGTAAGTCATTGATATCACAACACTAACCAGAGCAGTAACATCTATACAGTAATAATTACCTATGGTAAGTAGGAAAAGGGAAGAAAGAACTTTTTGAAACAAAACACACACCAAAAATTCCTGACCTCTGATAAACAGAAAAATAATTTGTGGAAAAATAAAAGAATTGTTTATATTCCCACAATAAGGATTAGCATTTACATAGTTTAGAAAGTCCCAAAATTAGGGGTTTTAGAAATGGAGAAAGTGGGAGAAAATTAGACCACCAGAAATGGGGGGAAAGTCAAAACAGCAACATTAGCTAAGCAATTCTGATGACACATTCAATACATTTAGAAAGAAACCCTGAATCCAGAATACTAAGAGAAATTGAGACAACATGGACTATGCAGAGAAAAACTGGTTCATGCAAGAAAAGAATTCCAAAATAAAACCTCCATCAAACACAAAAAGAATTATTGGGCATTGAAGGTTGTATTTGGACAGGGATAGCTCAGACAGATAGAAAGCACATGGCGGGGGAAAAAACAAGACATGCTGCTTTTAGAAAAGATTAGACCTTTTCTTTTTTCCCTAAAAAACAAAACAAAACAAAAAGATGTAACAGATCTGTAATTAAATCAATATCTACCATTACAACCAGTGTAGTATACTTGAATAACACACATACACATACTTACTTAACATCATTTTCCAACATACATCTTATTAACAAGTTTTTCTTCCTAATTTCTTTGTCACTGACAATTCTCACCTAGTCTTATCTTCAGTTTCACTCAAGTGACAAATTACCCTGCAACCATTCAGCCATTCAAAACATAATTATGATAAAAAATTGGGAGAGGGAGAAGGAAATCTGAAAGGCCATATATGTGTAAAGTTCACAGAATATTTATCAAGCAATAAAAGTACTGGATTGAATACTATGGGGATAAAAAGAAACTTGAAACCTTGCATAGTCACTCTTTGGTTAAAATGCCCTATGAGCAGATAGATGCCTGGGACTACACCGCCATGTATGTTCTGAGTATGTATTCTTTATTATGGCAACCTGCAAAAAATAGTCACAATCCTTTAGGGTACGGCTAGCTCTTCATGGTCATCTAGTCCAGGATTTCTCAACTTCACCATTACACACATCTTGGGCCAAATAATTCTTTGTGGGGGGCTGTCCTGTTCAGCATCTAATGGCCTCTACCCATTAGATACCAGTAGCATCCCTCCCCTAGGTATAGTAACAAAAAACGTCTCCAAATATTTTCAAATGTTCCTTGATGGAGATACTGCCCTCTATTAAGAATCACAAAGATGTGGGGCGCCTGGATACCTCAGTCGGTTGAGCGTCCGACTTCGGCTCAGGTCATGATCTCATGGTTCACGAGTTTGAGCCCCGCATCAGGCTCTGTGCTGACAGCTCTGAGCCTGGAGCCTACTTCAGATTCTGTGTCTGCCTCTCTCTCTGCCCCTCCCCACTCATGCTCTGTCTCTCTCTCTCTCTCTCTCTCTCAAAAATAAATAAACATTAAAAAAATTAAAAAAAAGAATCACAAAGATGAAAAATATCAGACTCAATGAAGTTAAGCTAGACAGTTAAGATAAATAACCAAAAAAATAAGGCTATGGAACCATTTTTTTTATGGAACCATTTTTTTAATATCATTTCTAAGAGTGATGAAATATCTACTGCATTTCAAGAGCTACAGTGAATAATTTATACTGCTTCTATTTGCAATAATGTCATGCATCCTACTCCCCAATGACTATTAACCAGGAAGCCTTAAGATGCATGTTTGATTTGTACTTTTTATAATTATGTTAAGATATATATGTAAGTTAGATTTTTATCTAGCTGACATGCAGAATAATGTAAACAAGTAGACACCACGAATGACATGAATAACATTACTGTAATAAAGAAGGAGGCACTATATTAAGGCCCCAATATAAGATATAAAGCCCACTACCTTGCTCAGTAAATATCTGAACAGATTACATAATATGAATTATAAGACTTTGTACTTAACATTTATAAAATTGCCTAAATAAAAAAACTTTCTGGCTCTTGTTACTTTTAGACTATAAGCTCCTAGAGGTCAAGGATCATTGCTGCTTTGATACTTAGTCTTGCACGGGACAAACCTCAGTTAAGAAGATTCTTCACTTGATGTTTTCTATTTGAAGCAGACTTTAACTTCCAAAGGTGATTATATTACCTCCTATCCTACATGCTCACCTACAGTATCACCTTGACTATCGCTCCATCAAGAGGTAAAGGTAACGTATAACCAACAGAGTGAGGTAGGAATGACACTATGTAACCTCCAAGGGTAGGTAAGAAAAAGTTAGAGAGCTTTCTGCCTTGTTTGCTGGAATACTCACGCTTGAGGACCTCAGTTGCCATATATACCATTCAACTCCCTCTAAGGGTGCTGTGTTGTAGGAAGTCCAAATTAGTGCATATGGAAAGACCGCACAGAAAGGCTCTGAAACCACATGATGTGAGAAAGATGCCCAGCCACTCTAGCTGCTCTGAACAATCCCTTTTCTTTACTACTCCCACAGTGTACCTGAGCCAGCCTCTATCTCTTGAAAGACCCTGAGCTAGAACCACCTACTAAAGCCTTCTAGAATTTCTGACCCACAGAAATCATGAGATAAATAAAATGATTGTTGTTTTAAGACACTAAGTCTGATGTCAATTATACTTCAAATGGAAAAAAAAAAAGATTCGAAGTTTGAGGGGATTTGTCATGCAGCACAGGTAACAGAATAGATATGAGTACCAGGAAAGTATCAATACAATCAGTACTGGGAATGAGGGGCTACTATAATAAACATCTAAAGCATGTAGTATTGGCTTTAGGATCAAGTCGTAACAGAATCCGAAGGCCCTTGAGGAGACCACTAATGAAACCTGGAAGGACCAAGAAAAGAATGTTGGTGGGAACTTCAAAGAGCTTAAAGGAAGATGCTGGTGAGGGCTTAAAGGAAAGTGAGGAAAACATTGTTGGAAGTTAGAAGAACGAAAGTGTCACTTGTGGTAACATGAAAAATAAAAACCGTACCTAATAAACTTGATCTAGCCGAGAAGGTTTCCTCAAAAAGAACAAAGATGATCATTTAAAAAAATGAACTGAGTAGAATCTGGGAAGGAATGTAAAATGTCAGCCAGGAATCAGTTAAGAAAGAGCTTCTGAGGGGCGCCTGGGTAGGTCAGTCAGTTAAGCCTCCGACTCTTGATTTCGGCTCAGGTCACGATTTCACTGTTTATGAGTTTGAGCCCTGCATCAGGCCCTGCACTGTCAGTGCAGAGCATGCTTGGGATTCTCTCTCTGCCCCTCCCCTGCTTGCACTCACTCTCAAAAAAAAGAAAAATAAAAAGGCTTCTGAGCATAGATCAAATCCAGAAAGTAGATGTAAGACTCTTTAAGATCTCAGGAAGATCTAAAATAGTACCTCACAGAACCTTTCAGATAAACAAAAACTCACTCCAAATCTTAAAGACATGTCTCATAGAAACTCTACTGTTGAGGAGGCAGAATCTAAGAGTATTGTTCCATAGCAACCTCATAAGGAACTCAAGATAGAAAAAGGCATGCCCTAAAGAGTTCTGTGGGTATGGCTTTGATGTAATGGAGTAGATTGCTTTAAAATTAGATATACAGGAAATGTGTACAGTTTGAAAAAGAATCCTATCAGTTTACACTTAAAGGGACAGAGACCGTACTAAGTGAATAGAGGCCTCTGGATCAAGACTCAGCAAACCAGAGCTTAGGGGCCAAAGCCATCTGTTTTTATAAATAAAGTTTTATTGGAATATAGTCATGCTTATTCATTTACATATTGTTTATGGCTGCAGAGTTGAGTAGTTGCAAGCTGGAAGCTACATTTAACAGCAGAAGCGAGTAACAGCAACAGAAACTACATGGCCCTTTACAGAAAAAGTTTGCTGATCCCAGTCCTAGGGACTCACAACCTTTTATGGGCAAGGAAGTAGGGTAAGAAGATGATTCAGTTGCAAACACAGGCCTTTTTTTTTTTTTTTTTTTTTTTTTTTAATGAAAAAAGAAGGATGACTCAGAGGGCAGAGCCAAGAGCCTCAGAGAACAACCAGAGAGTAAGTAGGACTGAACCCTAATTAAGAAACCATCAAACATGCCTAGCTGGAATTCAAAACTGTTACAGACCAGTGATGCGCAAAATCGTCCAGTCATTTTCCTATGCTTATCCACGTTGGGTGTGCAGGCAGCAGGTAACTTATCACTTTCATTCATAGGTTTTCAGACCAACACTTGAGGAACTATACCTGCAAAACCACTCCTAAACAGCCTCATCTGCCACTGTGCCAGATTCAGCGGACCCAACAGTGGCTTCAAGCTGATGCGAGGAAGGTCTTGGTAGGGGGTTAGAAATAAGCGTATCCTCCACAAGGGAGGAATATGAACTGTCGTGGCCAGGAGGCTGACCACAGCCAATTGCACTTTCCAAAATGGCTTCAACAATACCATTCAACTCACTTGCTCAATTTTACATGATCTTGAACATTCTCTACATTCCCTTTCCTTGACTCTCAGAGGACATGTGACTGGCTTGTGACTGAAAGAATAAGTTGGTAGGTAGTAGTGTTGTATCATTTCCGTAGGTAGGTCAGAAGCACACGGCTCCGCCAGCCTGCTGAAATGCTTCTCCTTGAAGCCTTCGGTCACCAGATAAGCAGTTCATTTCCCCTAAGGCTACCACCAGTCCTTGAAAAGACACTATATGAAGAGATACTGCCGCCACTTTACGAAGAGACAGTGATACAAGGTGCTCCGCTGCCCGCCCCCTTTCAACCCCATCTGAATCTGACAATCCTGTGAAAGTCTCCCAAGCCAAAACTGTCCTGCGGGTTCCCTCCTGAATTCCTGATCCTGAGAGAAACAATGAACTGAAAGAAATGATAAAATAACTTCTGCTGTTCTGGGGCGCCTGGGTGGCCCAGTTGATTGAGTGTCCGACTTTGGCTCAGGTCATGATCTTGCAGACCGTGAGTTCGAGCCCCGTGTGGGGCTCTGTGCTGACAGCTCAGAGCCTGGAGCCTGTTTCAGATTCTGTGTCTCCCTCTCTCTCGGACCCTCCCCCGTTCATACTCTGTCTCAAAAATAAATAAACGTCAAAAAAAAATTTAAAAATAAAAAATAACTTCGGTTCTGAGCCACTAAGTTTGAGATGATTTGTTATGTAGCAACACCTACTATAAATGATTTAATAAATTTTGGCTATTCATTCATTTTTCAAGTTTACTAAGCCCCTTTTACTGTATCAGGCAGGCTTTGTTTTTACCCTGTTTTACTTTTGTAGATGTAGTTTTGTCTTTTCTGCTCTAACGTGCAATAACCTTATTAATATCAAGCAAGCATGCAATGCCATCTCTCATAAATTTTACATTTGCTTTTTAGCCAGGAAAGAATGATGCCAATCACAAATACTGCATTTCGCAGATCATTCTAGAAAAACGTGAAAGTAATTTTGATACACTTTGGATCTTTTTTCCATGAAGTATTTCTTTATCTAGTCTAAAGTTGTTCAACACCTCTCACATATTTCAATACTTAACATACTGGGTTAGGAACATAACGGACAACTGAATCCACAGAAAAGCCCTACAAGTAACTCAGATCCTGATACACTATAACTGGCAGATACCTCACTTTCATTTTTTGACAGTTGATGGAAGATCTGGAATCAGCATCTTCTTTATAGATAAATACTCAAATCCTGAACTCTCCAATCAAAGTCTCCACTGTAATGCCAATGTAGTTAAAAAAAATAAATATATTTGTGGTACATTTCACTATAATTCTGGTAAAGACAGTGGGAGGGGAGGACTTTAAGTCTGTGGGGTTTCAATAAGAAAGAAAAGAAGAAAGAAAGGCTATATAACAACCATAAGAACATAGAAAGTTTTTCATTTGTTAAATTTTGTTTTAAACTATGACATTCTCAACCTGGAAAATTAGTCAAAAACTGTAATTACCATATTATAAGCTGAATGGGCAGCTGAGATATTTCGAGCAATTAAATTTTTAGAAGCATTCTACGTTTTTTTCATATAAAACTCCACAATCCACTCAGAGCAAAATATTTCACCCTTAATCCCCTATAGACTCACCTCTAAGTTTTTAAGGGGGAGAGACGGGCTCAATTTCAGCTTATAATAACAATGACAACCTTGATGCTGGACATTTCCTCTATTATGGGATTTTGGAGGATCAATGGCCCAATAAAATGAGATCCACAGTCTCCCCAAATATCCTCAATTTCTAAGAAATGTCCTAGCGTCCTGATTGTGATTGTGATTATTCAGGTTAGTAATTCTAAAGGTAAAGCTCATGCTAGCAGACTTTTCGTCTCTCCAGCAAGCTTCCACCACCTTACCAATACATAGGTGTATTTACTGCTATTCCTCTTACCACGGTTTCTGACCTGTCAACCTGAGTGCAAGATCGAGCAATAATGCAGGTACTGTATGTCTGACACCCTTCCAATAATGAAGCAATAAGTTGTTGGAATACAACTTAACATTGGGGCGCCTGAATACTTGGTTTAAAGGATTCATCTTGAAGAAATGATTTAGATAATATCCTGTAGGAAAAATAAGCGTCAGAGCATTTTGAATGTTATTTGCTATTCAGAAAAAAAGACCTAAAGTTAGACCTAAAATTCAGCACACGACAATAATTTATTATCCAAACTTTAGAATAAATTAGAGTGACAACACTACCTTCGCTTTTCTGACAAAGTCTTAAATTCAAGAGTCTTCTCATTCACAAAAGGCCATTAAGCCTTATCATAAGCATAAACAAATACAGAGTTAATTCATATGCATTTTAGTGTAAGCATGGGTTGTTTAACAGTCAGAGGAACAGATAAGACAGAGCCAGTCACCATTACCTTGGGCTTCTTCCAGTCATCCTGAGGTAGATATCATACAGGAATGCTGGGGCCTTATGGCTTACAGCAATCCAGTAATGATATAAAAGGTGATTGGAGGTTAGATTTACATTGGGCCGTCTGAAGGCCTGTTCGAGAGGATTCCTCTTGAAAGTGGAAATTACATGGTATTCTGAGGAAGAAAAGTTGTGTAACAGCTTTGATAATAACCATGTAATGAAGTTTTGAAAAACAAAAATCATGTTTTTACAAAGCAAAATATTTTACCAAAGATGTCAGAGTTCGCTCAATTAAAAAACAAACTTTTCTACTCTCGATAATAACTAAGAGAATATGGGTATCAGACTGCTGAGCTCGGGTGGTTTTAGGACTGCCTCTATTTATGAATTTTAATTAGATGAATGAATTTTTGCTAAAATTCACTCTTAAAAATCCTTTTAATGTTTTACCTATGTCAGTTTACAATGTCACTTTCTATATTTCACCTCTCACGATAGCTTCTTTCTTTCTGTTCCTCTTTCCAGATTCTTATTACTGTACTTACTTAAAAAAGAAAAGGAAAATCATCATCCTTTGCTTATGAATAATTAAGTTGCTCAAATTAACATACATCAACAAGCTTAAAACAACCCAAAATTAACTTCTGCTGTAATTTATTTAGTTAATACATTATCAACACAATCAAATCTATGATCTATGTTAATACTTTAATAGAAGTGTATATTGAGATATCCACTTAAAAATAACGTTCAACTTGATTTTTACTAAACTTTTACAACACAATGAGAGATTACCAAAAAACCTAACTCATTTCAGTGTTTTAAAATTCTTAAAAGAATACTATTTAAATAATTATCCAAAAATTAAAATAGCCCTAGATTTTTTTTTTTTCCTCATATGCCCTAATGGTCAATCTTTACATTGAAATAAAAATGCCACGGAAAAACCCTAGGACAAATGACATAAAGACTTACTTTAAAATCAAAATTGTTCTGCAAGGGTAACAAAAATCGTTCAATGAGAGGTAAAATAAGACCTATTACTAAATCAATGCCAAAAATATATTTTACTTTAAATTTGAAAACATAAACAACTAAAACATTATTCAATTTCAATAGGCTTTAAGTTATATCATTCCTAATTTAGAACAAGCAACACAGCATACATACTCCGTGGATTTGTGAATTTAAACAGATTAATAAATGTCATAGAAAATATTCTGACAAAACGTATCCTTCTTGCTAACTCCTTAATTCATTACTCTTGGGGCAGCCAGCTAGCTCCTGTGATATAACAACTCTTGTAGTTGGAAGGGATATTGCCTTTGGATCAACAACATCAGCACTGAGAGCACCCACAAGGGAGGAAAAGGAGCCCTGTTTCATTGCCACGGGCATCTGTGAGGGTTGCCACAGACAGCAGCAGAAAAACAGACAAGGGTGGGCCAAGGAGGGAATACACTGCAGGATATTTTTCAATTTGTGAAGTACTGCTAAGGATCACAGAGCAGTACTGGCTAATGTGGCAACTAAAATAAGAATAAATTGGTAACTCAGTGGCTTTAATGCCTCACGGGTGTATTCTAACATAACAACTCAGTGAACATTTGAAGTTCTTTAAGATTTATTCTAACATTCAAAAACACAGGTAAAATCATACCAACTTCACCCCAGTGGAAAGGATTAGTGCTGCCTGTTGTGCAGTTATACACCATGATGTTTCTTGGTCTGCAAAGACAAAGATCAAAGCAATGAAACATAAAAAGAGGCTGGACTTATCCAATCTAAATCTTATACAATATTCAAGTAGGAAGAAATAAGGATGCTGGGTACCTTTTCTACATTGATTATTTTAAAAATTAACCTTAAAGGATTAATTTTTGTGTCTGAAGGACTATATAAAACTACCCTTTTTTCCCCTCCCCTACCAAAAAAAATTATTAAAAAAAATTGTTTTTCTTTTCATGTTTTTCTTGCTTATACTAGCAGGACTATCTGTTTTTAAGTGTAACAAAAACGACAAACAACTACAGCTCGTCCTATCTCAGAGGCTCTAGTTTAAAAAACTTACGGGCTGAGTTCTCTTTTACCAGAAACAATATACACATATAATTGTATCTCTCCTTTTCTGGGATGTAAAATACAGACTTAAAAAAAATAAGGCAGTTTATTGATTAGGAAAAAAATATATTAAGAGTTACCTGTAAATGCTACTACTCCCTTTTAAAAAGAGGCCTGAGTTGATTCAAGCTGCTCTAGTGTGCCATCTCCGAGAGTTTCAGATTTTTTATACATTGAGTTTATACCAAGTTTTAGTTTGGATTTAAAAAGCAACAGGGGATGGTAGGGTTTGGGGGTTTTCTCATTTTTAATCCCGAATGAACTTGTCCCATCCTGTAGGTAGTATATGAAAATTAACATTAATTCTTAATTATAGCTAATGGAACTACTTGCTATATTACCTGTGATTAAACCAGTTCTTGCAATTGGAAGTGATAATACCTATACATATCAGTAAGGATTAATTAACATTAGTCATTAGCTCCGTTTTCCCTGTGCAGTTACTACATATTTAACAAGTGACATTGTCACCTCATATACCTATTAACTCCGGAATACCAGGCTGCCGCAAGACTCGTGTTGACAACTACATCTACAGGAACAAGATCTGCAAGGGCATTGTTGGAGGCACGCATTGTTCGAAGAATTCCTTTCCCTGCCTTTGTTGAAATTAAAAAAACACCTTAAGATATATAAGCCAGAATGCATATATAAGACATACAGAAAACAGAAAAATATGTAGAATATTAAATCAATCAAAAGATTTACTTACCGCAATAAAGAGACCACTTGGTCCATTAAAGTTATCAATCCATCCCTAATACAAAAGTTAAAAATAGAGTGAGCTTAGAAATATTATAAAACTAGAGATTTATTATTTGAAATCTACAACCCCATATGTATACTTAGCAGTTTTCTTCTAAAAACTAAAAGACTAGATTCAGGCCAGAATCTCTCTCTCCTTCCTAAACAAAAGCAGTCTGCCCTGAAGTCATTTTCAGAGAGTTACCTCCTCTTCCATTAATTAACTCTCTACAAAGAGAATTTTATAAAAAGGAGTTTATACCTGTCAAACATTTTAGCTAAATTAAACTTGCACAAGTTTGATTCTGTGCTATTTACTGAGGCAGCATCGCGAGATTAGGGGGAAAAGGGAAATCCTCCTCAGAATAAAACAGAGGAAAAGAGAACACTTGTCAAAGCAACAAAAAAGACTATACTTCCTATAATTATAGAGACCCAGATTTTTCCTAAATCAATTCATCTGTTAGTTTATATCATCTTACTCCAGGGATTCATAAATACCATAATGTCCTGCTTTTCCACAGCAAATTATCATAGAAATGTCTTATACCTTTCTTAGCTTGTGATCTATACAGGGAGAAGCCTACACGTTGGAAGGCTTTCCTCTTTTTGGTACTAAAAAGCAAATGAAATAAAATAAGGTCCTGAATATTTTCAGCTCTATTCCCTTCACCTCCACAAGGGAAACTAATCAGTAAATAATTTTAAAAGCCAACAAATGTTGATGTGTCAGAGGCCAGTATCTTGTCAGTCACAAAAAAAAACGCGTAAGGCGAGGTATGCTTTGACTCCAGACAATATCACAGCCTTTGATTTAATTTTTAGTTAAGATTTTTAAAATGTTTACCTGCATTTCTATATCCGTGGCATTACATTACAAATAAAAGTACCAAGAGAAGTGTCTCTATGAGAACAATTTTGCCACAGTAAGCCACGCACAGTAAATAACACCTGCTCTTATATCAAACAACTGCCAACTCTTTTTAAACAGAGACAAAACTTATAATTCTCAATTCCATTATTTACAAAGATTTCTAACAACTTACTGGAAAAGGTTCTTTCCAACTGGCACCAACAATCGATGGCCTTACAATCGCCACATTTAGCTTTGCTCCTTCTTGTTGTACAACATATTCTGCCAATGCTTTCGTGTATATGTATGTATTAGGTCTGTCTCCTATCAATTTTGGTGTGATATCATTTACCAGGCCATCATCCATCCACCTGGTTAACAAGGAAATTGCATGCAAAAATATTTTCAGATGTTTTACTATAAAATCAAAACCACTTAACTTTGCATATTCAAACGTATCTGTTGCTCTGACTCAATTGATTTGACAACTTTTACTAAAAAAAAAATAAATGGAAGTTAATCTTACTTTCATTAAACATCAACTACAAGTCCACATCTCCTATATACAATTTCTATATCCAAAAAGATCTGAAAGCCACAAGTTCTTTCATAAATAATATGGTAGGTAGCAATAAATGATCTCAACTGATCTGTGGCCTTGTAAAAAATACCACTTAGGGTAAATATTCATACACTTCAAATATGTTTGATCGGGGGTACTATCCCAGATCTCATTATTTCATATTGCATAATACACAGAGATTATATTTCCTTTCTGAAGTCCAAATAAATTCCAAAATTTAGATTTCATATTAAGAATTATAGACCTGTATATAATGACCAAAACAGCATAATATGTTGCAATAAACAGCTGCAATGAACATACATTTACAATTAACATAAAAGATCTAGTGGTCTAAGTAGTTCATGTAAAGCACTAAAAACTGTTATGTTCTCACCAGCGAGACTAACAAATACTAAAGTAAATGATCAAAATAAACTGAACCATGCTATAAAAATTCAACTAGCAACCTACTATGGAGTCACAAAATTCCTCCAATTCTCTCAATATCTCTGAAGAAAAGGTCCACTCTGATCCTATATAAAAGGAGGGTGATACACTAGGTGAGATCCATGGTCTTTCCAATTCTCCATTTCCAATTCCATTATGTATGTACCTGTCTGCAAATACTCTTCCTTACTGTTTATAATGTTATACAGACTTGTACACTTAGTGTATTATCACACTCAAAAGATACCCTATACTAACTGATGAGGAAGCACAAAACAGAAATTATTAAGGTAAGCTTTCTTCTGTATGTGGAAGTACTTTCTGTGTGTGGAAGAAAAAGAACCTAACAAAATTGAAGGGAGGTTGCTACTCAACTTAGGAACAATTCCACAGTGGAGAGGAGACTTGAAAAATGGAACAGTTGCTACATTACAACAACAACAATAACAACAACAAACTGGCTAAACCAAGGAGACATTAGGCAGGAAGACTTATCACTGGGAGTTGAATTCATAAAGCCAATCCATGAGTTACTCTAAAATTATCTGTTAGCTACATTTCTTTGTAAACAAAGAAAGGAGGTGCAGAATTAGAAGGTTACAAGCTCTTTCTCAGAAACTTAGATGTTTGGATATACCAATTGCTAAAAGAGAAAAAGTAAGAAGCTTCATTAACTTCTACATTCAACTTCTCCCAGAGATATTAAACACTTCTGACTACTGACCTGTTGAGACCATGAGGTAAACATCTGGGACCATCTAAGAAATGGGAGTTAGAAAACAGAAACCAGGGAATTACAAGAATGTCTTGGTAAGCTCCCATTCTTATTTTACTTATTTTCTTACAATCTGTCTGTTTCCTCACACTGATTAGCAGGAAAGCCTTAAAGAAAAAGACTTATTATGTGCTTATTTTAGGAGAAAACTTGGAGAAGCAATGAATACTCTATAGTGCCCTTTGGAAGAAGATAATATGAGAAAGCAGGGGACAATAACTGAAAGTGGATAGGATTTGGGGGACGAAAGAAGGCCTAAGGGAAACAGACAAGAAAAAAAAAGAAGCCCACAGGGCTATTATATGAGGATTAACAATTATGTTATGTTATATGAGGATTAACAATTATGTTTAGATATGATGTACACGGGAATTTTCTATAATTCTAGTCCATTAAAGAAGAAAAGACCCTACTTTTTGTTTTTGCTCTGATTCTGTTTGTTTGTTTCACTTTATGAGAAAGCGCAGCCCGAAACAAATGAAATCCTGGCCATGCAGACTTTATCGTGGATGAGCTGTTCAGAGACCTTCCTCCAACCATCACACCTGGTCAAAAGTTCAAGCTCAACACTGACTTCACCATCAGTCATGCAGATATAAATCTATACAATAAGCAGCACAGAGTAGGTATGTAAAAATTTGTTGAGTAAGAAAGAGATAAATGTACACATACGTGTAGGTGGAGAGAGAGAAGTGGAAAGAAAGAGAGAGAAACTGAAATAGACCAAGAGACACATGTAAATAGATAAAACTTTGGCTCCAAAGTTTGGGGATCAAAGCAAGTGTGTATAAATTTAAAACAAACATACTCTAAAGAATCAATCAGTTTCTTGGGATCCACAGGAGGTGGATAGACTACTTCATCAATATGCTTTCGATTGCAGTAGGCATACGCTGTTGATACATGCATGAATACTTCCAGATTCTTCATTTGTTGTGCAAGGAGAATAAGCTGACGTGTAGCAATCACATTTAACTGAACAGCATCTCTGTAAAAGAAAAAGTGACAATGAAAAATTGGGAAGCTTTCCCAGTGAAAAATTCGAAAGGAACTGATTTCACCTGCTAAAAAAAAAATTAATTTCCATTAGGAAGACAGAGATTTTGGTTTCTTTACAACTGATCCCTTAGGTCTGATTTTGTGTATTTTATTTCAATATAAAGAGCATCCATTCTATCCGTTGTGTTTAAAAAGAAAGATTTTCTGATTATAAAATAAATCTTATAGTAGTATTTAAAAAATAAAAGTACAAATTAAAATTTTTAAATAACCCAGAAATAAAAACAGAAAACTTCAGTCTTTGGCTTTTATACATACATTTTGAAGCCATGTTAGACTTCTCTTGTACTTTGATTTTTAGAAATATACTGTTTCAGGATGTAGAATAACAAAAGAGAAGAAAGCAGAATGGTTAAGTAATTTTAAAATTGTAAGGCAGAGTCACCAGTAAGGCTAAAACAGTCAAAGAAAACTCAGACACATGAAGTTATATTATAACATATAATCCAGAATACGTTTGTTTCCCTGTGTAGTAATTAATCCAAACACTTTAAAGACTAGCTTATAAAATTCAAAGGGGTATTATAATAAAATGGGTACATTTTGTCACAAGATTCAAAAATGATCCATGTATTATTCTATTCTTGAAATTTATTCAAAGTAAATAATTTCACAAATGCAAAAGTAAATATGTAGAAAACTAATCAATGAAGCATCATCTAGTAATAGTGAAAGCCTAGAGAGCCCGGATATTCACTATGAATGAAATGAATAAACTTCAACAAAGTAGTATTTTATCACAATCAAAGAAAAGAGTCATTTAAAATAATTATATGACAACTATAAAAACATGGGATATCTGCATGAATATTTTTTAAATATACACATTATAAAAAGTAAAGCAGGATTAAGAACAAGACTCTAGAGTAAGACCTGGCTTCAAATTCTGACTTGGCCTACCTATCAGCTAGCACTGGGTGACCTTGCATCATCAGTCAAGCACTCAGGCCTCAGTTTCCTCACCAGTAAATGGGAACTATAACAGAGTCTACCTACTAAGATTTGTATAAAATTAAATGAAATGAAAAGCTTGCAAGTATTTAGCATTATTCCTCAATAGGCACTGAAACAGGCATTCAGTAAATATTACTAAAGGTAATGAGATGGTGGATAGTTTTGCTTTCTATTAACCTTTTCTATTAAAATTTATAGCTTGTTACTTGAAAGGGGGGAAAGTTGATATAATACCAGTAATACTGTGCTAAAACTGGCAAAGTAATACATTGTTGATAACTACACTGATAAAACTGATCCAAAAGAGATTAAGACAAAGTAGTAGCAGAAAGTATAAAAAGGATATAATTACTCATCTAGTTAACCTACTGAAATTATCTTGGAGGAAAATCTTGACCTAACACTAATTTTTCAAAGAAAGAAATAAAAATTCCCTAAATTTGCTATATCTAGGGAACAATACATAAATTATGGCATATCAACATGGTGGAATACCAGCACATCACAAAAATTTTAACAATGAAAGAAATTAGAAATGTGGAAATTGTTTCCCTAAATCAGAAATTCTACGTTTACGTTTTATGTTCAAAGAGAGACAACAAAAGAATTTGTTTTAAAATAACAATCATTGGTTTTAAGTACTTTCCAGAATTCTTACATTTTCAGTACTTAAGAAGAAAACAAAATCCAATTATTCTTTTAAAAGGCCAGGATAGGTCACCAATAGAATCTGGTCCACTTGACTCTAAAGCAGGGCTTTGATGTCTATCGCCTTTGCACAACAGTGAGGATGGGGAGGGTACTGATTTGGAAGAGGTGTACAGAGAATATTCTGTTACGGGTTCCTGAGGACAGGACAACAAGTTCTGGGTCACCAAGAACAAGAAATAATTCATGAGAGAAAAACTCCTGTGCATTATTTTTTCTTTAAATTTAATAGAATCCGAGGGTTCATGAAAACATACTAGAAGGATTTTTTTTTTTTTAAATGAAATAATTGGTTTGAGATTTACAACCAGGAGTATAGCTTTTTTCTTCCTTATCTCAAGTGAGGTGGGAGGGAATCTGCTCAAATGGAATTCCAGCAAAAAAGACATTTCACAGAGAAGATACAGTCCACTGGACTGTAAGGCAATAAGCTATTTTCTTTTGCATTTGCAAAACAATGAAGCTAGGGAGAATAGTGTTTTGGGAGCAGTACACAAAGGATATTCTGTTACAGGTTCCTGAGGACGGTGACAGAATTTCTGGGTCACTGAAAATAAGGAATAACTTCAAAGAGAACACTTGTGTACCTGTCTACTACTCCTGTACCTGAGAGCCCAAACCTGAAGGCATATTATGCCCCCATAAATAACTTTTAGTATCTCTGCAACGCTATAATCTCGCTCTATTTTACCACCATTCAATTTCTACTCCATTGAACTTCAGGCTGAGACCCTGACATGTTAGATCAGAAAGCATTTAATACTAAAAATATAGATGTGTGTGTGTGTGTGTGTGTGTGTGTATAAAATATTCTCATGGTTTGATTATATGGAGTCATAAATGCATCTTAAATAACATTAGCTTTTGGAAGATGGGGCAAAATGAACAAATCTTTATAACTATGATCCCTGTCATTAACATGGACATAGAAGCCATTTCAAAAAAAAAAAGGAAGAATTCAACTTTAACTGCCAATATATTTTCTTGTTCATCTATCTTGTACAGACATTCTGGACTGTTCAAAATTTGCATTGATAGGGGCGCCTGAGTGGCTCGTCTGTTAAGCGTCCGACTTCAGCTCGGGTCATGATATCATGGTTCATGAGTTCGAGTCCCAAGTCAGGCTCTGTGCCGACAGCTCAGAGCCTGAAGCCTGCTTTGGATCTGTGAGTGTGTCTCTCTCTGCCCCTTCCCCGCGGCATTCTGTCTGTCTCTCTCTCAAAAATAAACATTAAAAAACATTATACAAAATACGTGTTGATAATACTAAGACCTTATACCAGAAATCTCATGCTTGCCATGACAGACACCTGAGAGCTGATTAAAAATGTGGACTGGGGCACCTGGGTAGTTCAGTCGGTTAAGAGTCTTGATTGGTTCAGGTCATAACCTCACAGTTCCATGAGATCACGCCCCACATTGGGTTCTGTGCCGATAGCACGGACCCTGCTTTGGGATTCTCTCTCTCTCTGCCCCTTCCTTGCTCATGCTCACTCACACTCTCTCTCAAAATAAATAAACATTAAAAAAAAAAAAAAAAGAAAGAAAAGAAAAAATGTAGATTGTTGGACCTCACCCTCAGACACCTTGTAATGTCTGAATTGAAGCCTAGAAAATTATATTTTAAATAAGCTCCCCAGGCCATTCTGATATCTCTTTCCTCCTTCCCCACTTCTGAGAAAATGCTTCCTAAGTGAGATCTCACCACTACTACTGCTGATTTTTTTTTTAATTTAATGAAGATGCAGACACAGATGTCTAGGGACCAATTAATCAATCTTAAGGTAAGAGACCCAGACGTCTATAATTTAAAATCATACCCAGAGGTCTTGCTACAAATTAAGATTCCCGGGTACTATCCCAAACCAGAGGGTCTGAATTTTGCAAGTATAGTCTAAGATTCTGCATTTTTAACACGTTTTCCAGGAATTCCTAAGATTCATAATGCATTGTTAAGTGGAGAGTTGATGCCCTTAGACTCAACTTAGCTTCTTGATCTCATCATCCATCTTCACTTCTACTCCTTTCTTGACACCTACTCTCCTATTCATAAAGTTCATAGTCACATATTGTCATGTTCCAATTGCTACATCTCTGACATCTCACACTAGTTTCTTGATACTCTCCTACTCTCAACTCCAAAGGCCCTGTCCGACCTTCACTTTCCTTATTCCTTAGGGGCACCAAAACCCAGGATCAACTATTTAAGAAACTCCCTTCATTATCCTCAAAATCACTCTCTCATCTTTCTCAGGTCAGTATTTCTTTATAATGCATAATCTTGATACCCACTTTTTCCCACCTCAAGGTTTATAAACCACCATATCTAAAACTAAATGAGCTCTACTGGCTCTCAATTCTCACAGCACTTAATGTATGTTCTTCAGTAACTCCTTATTTTCTATGCTTTATTATGGTTATTTAAGCAATCTATCTCCCTTATTAGACTATATGGACTTTGCAAACAGGATCTCTGTGCAATTTATCTTGGTTTCTCCCAAAATACTGGGTATAATATTGGAAGTATAATCTGGGTTATTTTTTGCCCTGGCAATAAAGGCTTTGTGCCATTTTTTATTTGTGGGTTAACTTAAAAAATGATTATAAAGAGTAACTTTTTTAAGCAGTTATTATATACCAAACTACGGTATTTAAAAAAAAATTTTTTTAATCTTTATTTATTTTTGAGAGAGAGACAACGTGTGAGGCAGGGAAGGAGCAGAGAGAGAGGGAGACACAGGATGCGAAGCAGGCTCCAGGCTCCGAGCCATCAGCACAGAGCCTGACACGGGGCTCGAACTCACGAACTGTGAGATCATGACCTGAGCCAAAGTCGGATGTTCAACCGACTGAGCCACCTAAGCGCCCCCTAAACTATGGTATTTTAGAATGTATGGCCCAAATCTAATGTTGCAATATTCCCACTTACATGTTAATATCCATTAAAACTGCTTAACAGAAAACAATAATTTCAATGTAATGACTAAGGTTAGGTCAGTAAATATAGATGCCTTGACAAGGCAATAGAGTTTATAATTCATCTATAATTCCCATTCCACTATGAGATCGCTAGTAAAAGAGAGAATAATGAAAAGATTTCCCTTTCGTTAATGGTAGCCCCGTTTACCCTGAGGAGGATAGACAGAGGGAGAAGGTTCCTTGAAAATTTGGTTCGTAAGTCACTTTGAGGAGTTTCATCCTAATTAACGTTGCCAGTCTGCAAATCAATTTCCCATTTAAAAGCACCTACAGCACAATTATCCAATAAACATATACCTGTTCTTCTTGAAAACAGTTTCATAAGGCTGTGTGAATTTTCTGTTGGTTATGAAAAATAATGAAAGCTAGAACTATGGGGGGAAATATCTGTTAGGTTGACTATTTAATACTAAAAACCTACCTGTAATCACACTATCCAAAGATAAGTGGCAAGTATCGAAAGATGTTATCTAAATACACATATATGTACACACATCTTTTATGAAAGTGAGATTCTACCATACCTCTACTAAGATTCTTTTGTCACTTTTGAATCATGAACACATAACGGCTGCACAGAAACAACTAAAAATAAATAAATTATTATCACCAGATAATAAAAGATAAAGTCAAAGTTAAAACTAAGGTATGTAATTCCAAAGCTCATGTCCTTTCTGGTACACTCAAGTATAAAATGGACTTGCCCACGATATCACAGTGGTAACATTAGCACAGAATAAAATAATGCATGAGAAAATACCCTGAAAACTATAAAGTACAATTAAAGAAATGTAAGTGACTACTACAGTGCCCTCACCTGGAACATAGGCAAAACATATTTTAACGCTTTGGCACTGAACGGTCACATTATATATATATAGTATCAATTAAGGTTTATACTTCTATATAGAAGACTTGATGAGAAATAATCTCAAAACCCTTTATAATCAAAATTTAACTTAAAAACATTCTAGGAAGGCCTTCAAGTAACTGTGAAACCTAAAATAATCTGCACCACTTTAACTGGCATACAATCGACCATACAATTAGATTAACATTATAAAATGGTATTTTTGAACATACCATCAAAAAGAATCCTTTGAATAAGCACCATTTTTCGAAGTACATATTTGTTAGATTTTTTTTTAAAAAAAAGTAAACATTTAAAAAGCTTTTTTCTCGAAAAGGTATCTGGACAGGGGCGCCTGGGTGGCTCAGTCAGTTGAGCATCCGAATTCGGCTCAGGTCATGATCTCACAGTCTGTGAGTTTGAGCCCCGCATCGGGCTCTGTGCTGACAGCTCAGAGCCTGGAGCCTGTTTCCGATTCTGTGTCTCCCTCTCTCTGCCCCTTCCCTGCTCATGCTCTGTCTCTCAAAAATGAATAAATGTTAAAAAAAAACATTTTTTTTTTTTAAAAAAAGAAAAGGCATCTGGACAGAAGTCCAGGTTATTTTTCTAATTAAACTCATGTCCAATGTAGCCTATCCCTAACACTGCTACCAAGTTTTTTAAAAAAACACAAGGTATGGGGCGCCTGGGTGGCGCAGTCGGTTAAGCGTCCGACTTCAGCCAGGTCACGATCTCGCGGTCCGGGAGTTCGAGCCCCGCGTCGGGCTCTGGGCTGATGGCTCAGAGCCTGGAGCCTGTTTCCGATTCTGTGTCTCCCTCTCTCTCTGCCCCTCCCCCGTTCATGCTCTGTCTCTCTCTGTCCCAAAAATAAATAAACGTTAAAAAAAAAAAAAAATTAAAAAAAAAAAAAAAAACCACAAGGTATGACTTAAGTTTATAAGCCATTTTATCTTATGCTACAAAACCTGAGCCTAATCTTTTTCTAATTTTCAGATGGGTATGTGTGGAGTGGAAAAATAAATCTGCTGGGGTATAGGCTTCTGAAAAAGTGGAGGAAGAGGAAACAAACACTATTAGTTGTTAAAACTAACACTCCTACTGAAGGTAAATTTCTCTTTCTTCTACTCTGTGCTTCCCTGCCCTACACTTAAATTCATGGCAACTTCTTCTAATACACAGACACTAGCTATCCAATGTTTTTAAATTGATAACAAGGAGAAAAACTCCTTTAACACTCTTTAGGTCACCAAAAGCTACAATTGACACAGGGCAAACAGTTTCAAATCACTTTCAAAACAATTTGACTAAAAATAATTCAAATAGATCTTTTAACCATGTTGAAGTTCACATATCATATAATATCTTTACTTACCTTAAATTTTCATTAAACCTTACTGTAGCTGCACAGTGGAATATAATATTGATAGAATCTATGATGATCTCTTTATCTTCTTCACTAAGAGCCAGTTTAGGTTGGGTGAGTTCACTGTTGATCGCTATAACTTTCTCTCTAAAATCTGGATTTTCATCTCTCAATCTGTCAAAGAGCTATCCAAGGGGAAAAAGTATTTTAGGGCAGTATTTTTCAACTTTCTAAAACCCATTAGCACCCCACCAAGGATCGCTATTCTTAAAATGCCAGCTAAGTTCATCCTAAAATTTCTATTTTTAATTGCCATCATTCTGTATATAAAACACCCTATGAAGCCCACATTATTATCCCCATTTTACAGATGAGGAATCTGAGATATACAGAGGTTAAGTAAGTTGCCAAGGACACAGAGCTGGTAGTTTGCAGAATTAAATCTGAACTGTTCACGCCCTTGCTGACTAGATTATATTGCCCCTCAGACTTAAACAGTACAGACATTAGGACAATGTTTAAAATGATCATTCAAATTTCTAAAATCCAGATCTTAATATATCACTTCATTTTATTTTTGGTTTTACTCCATTTCAGTTGATTACACTACAATACCATTATTCGTAGTCTACATAAAATCTGAGACCAAATTTTAAGGGAAAAAAGAAAGTACGTTGAAGGAAAAAAATACTGGTAAGCAAATATGCAGATCAGACTCTGGACAAACTTGAGAAATAGCATATATACAGGATTCTAACCCAAAAATTCAATATTATTTAAGTATTCCAAAAGGAATAAATTAACTAAAGATTCAGTTACATCCCAAAATGATTACAATGTAAGGGCACATTCAGTTGTGAGTCAAATTTAATTTTTCATCCCAGATTTTACAGAAGAACACTGATGCTATCTCCAGATCCCTCCTCTATTACACTTTGACTCTCCACTTCATTTCAAGTCCATACTTGCAGTTTAAGCAGAGATTCTCGATCTGGAAAGAAAGTCTATAGACAGCACATATAATTTTCACTTTCACTTCCCTTCCACTACTGTTAGCTAGTGACTTCAATATTAATGTGTTCTTATATTAATTATTACATATCTACCAAGTACTTCATATGAGCCAGGCACCTTCTAGACACTGAGAAAACAAAGCAACAATCTTTGCCTCAGGCTCTTTGGAGTCTGATTGGAAAAATCAGACAAACGAACAATTAATAGACAGTGTTAAAGGTAATAAAATAGGGTAATATTACAGTGCTATGGGACTGCATGGGAGAAACAACTAACCGAGCTGGGGAAGGACCAGAGATTATAAAGTTGAAGAACAGTGTTCCAGGCACAGAAAGCAGCATGTATAACCACCTGAAAGTGAGACAGCATTTATGTTTGGGGAGTTAAAAAGAAGTCAGTATGACTTGGCCAATGACTCAACATGAGGGATAAGGAAATGTGAACTCCACAAGGACAGGGACCACATCTACTTTGCTCAGCACACAGGTTGTAAATAGCCGAGCACCTGGCAAGATGCAGACATGATGAACACGCTTGTTAAGTGAATAAATTCATTAGGTGGAAAACACTGGAAAAGCAAGAAGTACAGTTACAGAGATACAAGTTCAGTTTTCTGAAGGATGGGTGTGAAGTGCCCATGTGGCATCCAGAAGACAGGTCTACTAGAAACAACTGGCTCCGTAGGTCTGGAGTTTAGGGAAGAGAAGAGCCAGGCCACCCAAATAGACTTTACTACCCCCACACAGGTAGCCCTGGGAATAGACGACCACCCAGGTAGCAGTAGTGATGAGCACCCAAGGTCCAGACTAGATGAAGCTTTTTCCAAATCTAATTTAAAATACAACCATTTGTCTCACATAAAACAGAAGGTGCTGAGTAATCACCTAACTGGATCTAGACGAGATCAAGGCCTAGGAGAGAACTCTGTAGAATATCAATATTTAAGGGGCAAGCAGAAAAAAAGCAACCTGAAGAATGATCAGAAAAGTACTTTTAACACCTTGAATTTACATTTTTCATTCTCTCAGATTGCCAAGGACCTTTTAACTCCCCATCGTATCAGATATCTCCACCACCAAGACAGGCTCATGCTGTTTCACAAGTTACATCTCAAACCTGATACTCTTCCCTTTCTAGCTATTTATTCAATACTATGTCTTCCGGTGCTTTTAATTCACCGGTACCCCAATTAGTTCCTCCTTTACTATGTTCACTAATGCCCTCTTTGATATACTTTATTCCCTTTCTAGAATTTATTTTGTGGTTAATTATTTTAGTTAATCATCACCATCTTAATGGAGTTTCCTTTCCCAGAGACATTCATCAGTGGTTCTCACCTTGGGGAAATTGTACCCCCCAGGGAACATCTGGTGACATCTGGAGACATTTTTGATTATCACGACTGGGAGTGTGGGGGGAAGGGGCTTCTGGCATCTAGCAGGTGGAGTCAAGAATGCTGCTGATCACCCTACAATGCACAGGACAACTCCTGATAACGAAAAATTATCCTGTCCAAAATGTCAACAGTTTGAGAAACTGTACTATAAGACAATGTCCCACTACAGCATATGCTCCTAGCCTATGCTCTTTACTCCTGTTTCAAAATCATAGCAGGCTTTACCTTTAAGTTTCTTACTAACTTCAAGTATGCATTCATTGATACTTGACATAAAAAGAACTCATCTTATTGATTTACTAGCAATGCTATATACATAATGGGGAATGAGTGGCCTAGGATTAAGTGGCAGGAGGACCAGGAAGGAATTAAAGGCATAGATAAAATGACACAATTTTATGGATTACTTTAGTCAAAATTTAGACAAATATATAAGGACAAAGTATCTTCTTATTGAAAATAATGGTCATATGTTTTGGTTAAGTCACATAAGTTCAATAAATTTCAGGCTTTAATAAGCGTAAGGTATGCTTTCTCTTTACAAATTAGACTTACTGGGGAGAAAAGTCTTTAGATCCACTGCCCTGGAGGTCCCAGAGGAGATGCCCAAATCTTTGACATTTTACCCGGGCCCCAATTCCAACCAAGACATTAACTTCAATATAACTGTTCCTATTTGGTCTCTCTTGACACTTCTATACCCTCTCTTCTCTCTTAAAAACTCTCTAACTTGTAGGCAGTCTTCATCATGGCAAGGATTCTATCTTATTTATCCCTCCATTCAACCCCCTACATCAATCAAGTCAAGTTCCCAGCACTGAATATGCATAGTAAATGTTTTCTGAAATATAAAAAATGAGTAACAATGAATCACCTCCCACTAGGGGAGGGAGTAATCAGGAAGGGAATTAAAGCATACTAATTACAAGTGATTAAAAGGTACTAGATAATACCTAATAACTAAAAACTTACATAGCTACTGTACTAAAATTACTATCAATGAATGTCAGATAATCTAATTCATTCATTCTGAGAGAATTCAAAGCTTAGGATCATGAAATTAATTTTACTCCAGCTCATTTCCATTTTTTTCTTAGCAATATTTTTCTAAAGGTTCAAAATACATGACATATTCTCATATCCTATATTACCCCTCTGTCATCATGTTATTTGTCCAATAATAATATGTGACTTTTCTACTTCCTAATACTGTTATGGGAAGCAATCAGTGCTTACAAATTTTTAAGTGTTATCACAGCACAGTGTTTCACAGCACATTAGGTAGTTAGAAACTACGTCTTCGTTATTATTATTCTGAATACTATTTAAAATATCTAGTAATTACAAACAATATGTTCCAAATATTCTGAAAACACATTAAGTATGTACCATATAGCTATTTTAGAACTTGTTATACAATTTTGCCCATCACAGAGGAAACCTTCCTTTCTCCTACTGATCACAAGTCATATCCCATTTATTACCATCCTGCACGACTTTTTTTTTGGTACTAATTTTTTCAGGACACTGAAGAAATAAACTGAACTGATGATGATTACAGTAATTATACATACACACATTCTTTTCTTTCCTTCAAGTGATCATTTTCTACACTTACCTTGCCACTAATAACTTCTTCTACTCGCTCTTGGGGTGTCTGTCCCGCTTTCTGCCTCACCAAAACATACACTGAATTCACCTTGGGACAAGACCTCAGCAACTTTTCCAGAAGTACCTTCCCTAGGAAACCGGTAGCTCCAGTGAGGAGGACATTCTTGCCTTCATAGTACTCTGGGATTGAAACCATTCTGATCCTAAGGAAAACACAGCAAATAAAGATCAGTTCAAAGATTTGTTACTTCTTATGCACTAAAAATCTCTTGCTATTCAAATAAACAGGCAAAAGTCAAAGTTGAATATTAGCAAAAGGGAACTTTAACCTCTGGTTAACTGTAGTAAAGTGGAAAGAATAACAAACTGCAAAAGTGATTTCTGGCCCCTGTGTTTTCCACCTGGATCACCTCAGACAAGTCACTCACCTTCTCTGGGCCTGGGTTTCTTTAGTCCAGTTTGTACTAAATGACTTCTAAAAATTCCTTCCAGCAATAAGAACTCAAATCTTCAATTAAACCTCAGTTAAATCCTACACACGAATGAATTCTATTTCACTGTCTCCAAAAGGATTTATAACACCAAATAGAGGTCAGCAGCAAGACTCAATTGTCTAGCTTGTATAACATGGCGGGGTATCACATTCGCCTATCATCACCAGTTGAAACAAGAAGAGGTAACATCAAGTCCTTTCTCTTCCATGTCTGTAGTGACAATATATCCAAAAGGTGCTTAAATCTCCCTTTTAAAAAAGTCATAGTAAGAAATACATGAGCTGAATTATCCCCTTTGTCCAAATTCCACTAAAACAGCAGAAAAGATAGTATACTAAGAGACTGAACAAACAAAAGAACCATGATGAATGGAAAAAAACAAGATGCAGAAGGATTCATGCAGTATGTCACTATTCAAATCTCAAACCCTTTCAAAACAATGCTCTTTGCTGTTCAGAAATGCACACACAAGATGATATTAACAGATGCATGAGAGGGAGTGCAATACAATCAGAGAATAGGAACTTCAATTTATGTTTTCTTTAAGTTAGGGAGTAGATACACGTGTTTTATGTTCTAACTTTCATAATTAAAAAATAATAAATTCATAACATCTAAAGATAAGAAATAGACCCATTAAAGACCAGAAGGGAGGTGCCTAGGTGGGTCAGCCAGTTGGGCATCCGACTTTGGCCCAGGTCATGATTTCATGGTTCTCGAGCCCCGTGTGGGGCTCTGTGCTGACAGCTCAGAGCCTGGAGCCTGCTTCGAATTCTGTGTCTCATTCTCTCTCTGCCCCTCCCCAACTTGTGCTCTGTCTCTGTCTCTCAAAAATAAATGTAAAAAAAAATTTTTTTAATAAAAAAAAATAATAAAATAAAATAAAAACTAGCAGAATGGAGAGAAGGAAAGAGTTTCTAGAAGAAAAAGATAAGACTAAGAAAAGCCATAGCAGAAGAAATAGCAACCCAAGCAAAGCAAGCATAGGAAAGGACTTATAAAGAGGCAAGAAATGTCCCAATTCCCTGAACAGAGAACACCAAGCCCAGAATCAAGAAACTGAATTAAAAGGGTGCCTGGGGGGCTCAGTCAGTTGAGCGTCAACTTCGGCTCAGGTCATGATCTCACACTCGTGGGTTTGATCCCCATGTGGGGCTCTGCACTGATAGCTCAAGAGCCTGGAGTCTGCTTTGTATTCTGTCTCCCTCTCTCTCTTCCCCTCCCCCACTCGCACTCTGTCTCTCTCTCTCTCTCAAAATAAATAAACATAATAATAAAAAAAGTTTTAAATAATAAAAAAATAAATAAACTGAATTAAAGCATAGGGAAACCAGGGGCACCTGGGTGGCTCAGTCGGTTGAGTGTCCAACTCTTGGTTTTGGCTCAGCTCATGGTCCCAGGGTCCTGGGATTGAGCACCGCGTTGGGGTTCTGTGCTGAGTGTAGAGCCTGCTTAAGATTCTCTCTCTCTCCCTCTCCCTCTCCCCCGCTTGTGTACACTCTGTTTCTAAAATAAAAAAATAAAATAAAATAAAAGTCATAGGGAAATCAAGGGAATTAAAGGATTGCTCACAGAACAGCAGAGCCACTCAAGACAGCCTTACTTCCGGTATAAACTTGAGTTCCCAAGGCTTAGTATCCAGATCTGCTGAGAAGAACATCCAGCATGGGTGCTAGGGACAAAAGAAAAGCAGGGCTGAGCCTGACATTGCTCCAGACATCCACAAATGGTGGGGGAGGTGGAGAATCAAGAGAGAGGAAACTAAAGCAACGAAAGAAAAAAGTCTCAAAGCACTTGAGCCCTAGAATAAATTTTAGGTCCTAAGCCTATCTATCTGGCTGCTGTTGGCCCTTAAAACAAATTCACAAAGGGGCGCCTAGATGACTCAGTCAGGTAAGCATCCGACTACAGCTCAGGTCATGATCTCACAGTCCGTGGGTTCGAGCCCCACATCAGGCTCTGTGCCTGCTCAGACAGCTCAGAGCCTGGAGCCTGTCTGTGTCTCCCTCTCTCTATGCCCCTCCCCTGCTGATGCTCCATCTCTTTCTCTCTCAAAAATAAATAAACATTTAAAAAAATAAAAAATAAAATAAAATTACTATAAAACTTCAGGCGACTGGGTAGCTCAGTCGGTTAGGTATCCAACTTTGGCTCAGGTCAAGATCTCGCGGTCTGTGAGTTCGAGCCCCACGTCGGGCTCTGTGCTGACAGCTCAGAGCCTGGAGCCTGCTTTGGATTCTGTGTCTCCCTTTCTCTCTGCCCCTCCCCCACTCATGCTCTGTCTCTGTCTCTCAAAAATGAATAACGTTAAAAAATTTAAAAAACAAATAAACTCACACAGGATTCTGCATCAGTAATCTCATTTAGAGAAAAGCTCTTTTGGAAAAACAGACCACAAAAAACTGAGAGGAAGCCAGCCAGTATCAGCCCCCAAAACCAACCACCCTGATCCTTCATAAACATGACTAGATAACCAAAGATCACCAGATATTTAAGAAATACCTAACAAAATTAAGAAGAACCAAAATGAAAAGCAACAGAATCAACCACTAAGGAAACAAGGGCAATAAAATTTTAAACAGAATTTAAATTCTAAAGAAATTCTCCAAGCCATTCACAAAAATACTGCATCCATAAAATAGCAAAGTACATGAAAAAGGAACAGAAGAATAAGAAAGCACTTGAAAATCCAAAATCCAGATGTATAGAGAAAATCCAATAAACACATAAATAAACTATTAGAATTAAATGAAGTTAAGAAGGTCGCTAAATACGAAGTTTATATGGAAAAAAGCAAATGTATTTCTATACATCAGCAACACGGAAAATGAAGTAACAAAAAACTGGAACCACTTAAGATACCATCCCAAACACCAAAACACTATGGAAAACAGCAAGTATTAAGGAAGACACAGAGAAACTAAAACCCGTGCACATCGCTTGTGGGAACGTGAAATGGTTCAGCCGCTATGGAAAAGGTAGTGGCACCTTAAAAAGTTAAACAGAATTATACAACCTTGCAGTTCCATTCTGAGGCATACGCCCCAAAAACTGCCAACAGGTACTCGAACAAGTACATGTACATGCGTGTTTACAGCACACTGTTCACAACAGCCAAACAGTACAAACAGCTCAAAATGTCCATTAACAGATGAATGGATAAAAAAATTATGGTATATACACCTACAGCAGAATACTATTCAGCCATAAAAAGGAATGAAGACTTGACACACACTACAATCGAGGAATGAGCCTCAAAAACATACTAGGTGAGGGGCGCCTGGGTGGCTCAGTTGGTTAAGCATTCAACTTTGACTCAGGTCATGATCTCACAGTTTGTGAGTTTGAGCCCCGCATCAGGCTCTGGTGCTGACAGCTCAGAGCCTGGATCCTGCTTCGGATTCTGTGTCTCATTTTCTCTCTGCCCCTCCCCCAAGTATGCTCGCTCTCTCTCTCTCTCTCTCTCTCAAAAATAAATAAAAATGTAAAAACAAAAAAAATTTTTTAATTTTTTTTTTAACGTTTTATTTATTTTTGAGACAGAGAGAGACAGAGCATGAACGGGGGAGGGGCAGAGACAGAGGGAGACAGAATCAGAAGCAGGCTCCAGGCTCTGAGCCATCAGCCCAGAGCCCGACGCGGGGCTCGAACTCACGGACCGCGAGATCGTGACCTGAGCCAAAGTCGGACGCTTAACCGACGAGCCACCCAGGCGCCCCCCAAAAATTTTTTTTAAACATACTAAGTGAAATAAGTCAGATACAAAACATCAATACTACAGGATTTCATTTATATGAAATATCCAGAATAAATAAATCCATAGAGACAGAATGCATACAGGTGGTTGGCAGGGGCTGAGGGGTGGGAGAGTGGGCAGTGGAGACAAAATGCTTAAGGAGCTTTACTCTGCAGTGATGGAAATGTTTTGGAACTAGATGGAGGTGGTGACTGCACAACACTGAACTGTACTACATTGTTCACTTTAAATTTTTTTTTTTAACGTTTATTTATTTTTGAGACAGAGAGAGACAGAGCATGAACAGGGGAGGGTCAGAAAGAGAGGAAGACACAGAATCTGAAACAGGCTCCAGGCTCTGAACTGTCAGCACAGAGCCCGATGCAGGGCTCGAACTGCGAGATCATGACCTGAGCCAAAGTCGGACGCTTGACCTACTGAGCCACCCAGGCGCCCCTAAATTGTTCACTTTAAAATGGTTCATTATATTGTGTAAATTTTACCTCAGTGAATTATATGTTTTTAAACTACCAGAAGGTAGAAGTAAATCTGAAAGATATTTGAGACCTCTATTCTGAAAACTACCAAACACTGAGAGAAATTGAACAATACCTAAATAAATGAAGAGATTTACTACATGCCTGGATTAGAGGACAACTTCTAAATAAATGAAATGTCAACTCACCATCCTTAGGGTCCATACAATCCCAATCAAAACCTAAGCTGTTTTTGTGGATGGAAACTAAGACCCTAAAATGTTACGGAAATACGATGGGCCAATAATAGCCAAGACAAGTACTAAGAACAACAAAGCTGGGGAACTTCATTACCGTATATCAAGATGTATTATAAAGCTGCAGGAATGTGGTACTAGGACAAAGAATAATGCAGGCAATTTGCTATCCATATAGAAAATGAATTTTGGGGGTCCCTTACTGGCTCAGTCGGAAGAGCGTGTGACGCTTGATCTCAG